TATTTAGTTTGTACTTTGCTTTTCTCTATATTTGTTAAATATAACTTATTTTTTACTTTTATCACAAGTTTTATGTATACATAATCAACATTTTACGCTTTGTACTAAATAGAAAAAAATAAACATATTTTAATTTGAACTTACGTTCGTGAATGTTGTTTCTTTTGAAGATATTTTGCAGCGTAGAATTTACAATCTGCTACATCTAATTTACATGCCCAATTACGAGCATATATTCTTAACATTTTAGTTAGATCATTATCACTTCCATTATCCTCAAAGCCTAATTGTGTATAAAGCTGTTTTACTAATAATGTTAACCATTCCTAAAAAAAAATCATTTATCATTCTCTATAAAATGTTACTTATAAGATTTCTTATAAAAATAAACATAAACAATCAGAAAGCCTAAGGTAAAATTGTAGCTTAAAATAAAATTTGAGAGTATGTTAAAAAATATTCTACAAGTAAGACATTTTATTTGAATAAAAAGATTTAAGAAATTATATTAATAAATGTAAAATTATGAAATAATTAAATTATTTTAATTTAATTCTATTCCAAGTATAGATTGTAACAAAAAATTTATAACAACTATTTTACTAATAAACGAAATAAAAGAAATTATGAGAAAATTTGATTTATATTCAATAGAATAAACATATTTCTGTGTAATAAACATATTAATTATAATATATGCATTACACATAATTATAAAATACGTACTTTGTACAAGCTTTCGATATCGCGCCCCGCAAAACGTTTTTCCAAATAAGGCAGATTATTGAAAAATGCGCGCCAGGGAAAATAATTTGTTTCTCTTTGCAAATACATTGTAGCTGATATAACAGTTTTATAACTGGTGTAGTTTGCTCTTGCAAGATTCATCAGATCATCAATTAGTGCTGCGCGATTAATTTCATGAATTGTTTCGAAATCCTCATGATTAAGATAATCAATCAGATCCATCCAATGTTTCTCGTTATAATTTACACGATAATAGCCTAGAAACAAATGCATTTTTAAACGCAAATCTTAACATATTAAATATGTTAACATATTAAATACATAATACAATAATTCAAGTATAGTATTTGCTCATTATGTCTATTTTCTCATGTCTTTGTTCTGTTAATTTGCTTTGCTTATTACCTGATTGCTGTATATTGAATATCCAGGGTGATTGTGATGACATTTCAATTCTTTTTGCTTTTGTGGTCAACCATAATTTTGGTGTGGTATCAAAATCTTCGGAACTATTTTGAACTGTTGTCCATGTGATCGGAATGTGCCACATAGTGTTAGAATTATTTTTTTTAAGGAAGAAACGTTCTTGCATCATAAATACAACAGTGTTTGTAACTCGGACATTAACAACAGGATAGCCGGATTGACGTGTCCATGTGTTTAAGACAGTTGTGATATTACGATCTTGTATATATTTTTGCAGAGATTTATACAAATCTTCCGGCGTGGCAACCTCGTATTTCCTAAAAAATTAAAAAGTGATTTTTTTTTCTTTTATAAACTGCCCATTTATAAAATTAAACTTAAAATTATTATATATCTTGAGTATTAGAACAATATTTTATCGTATTGAATATTTTCTCTTATTGAATAAATATCTAAAAATAACTTTTATTCTTGCTAAATAAAAATTGTAATAATTAAATAATTTTTTATTAGTAAATTAAAGAAAGAAGTATTTGTATCTGCAAAAAGTATTATTATAGACATACCGTTCGTTAAGGTAATTAATTAATGCATCGTTAAAGATTTTGATTCCGTACGTCTTTTCAATCATTCTCAATATGCTAGCACCTTTGGCATAAGTGATTGTATCGAATATACCTCGAATTTCAGGAACAGTCATTACATCGTGACTCATAGGATGTGTAGATATGGAACTATCTACACTGAAAGCAGAATGTATTTGATCTACCACGAATTGCGAGTCCATCGTCGTGTCATTAAATGTCTAGAATGCAAATAATAAATTTAACAGTTTTTAAAACAGTCCTCATTATTAAACGGAATAATATTTTTGTTTTAATATTTATCTTATTATCATCATATTAAACTGTAGATGTGCATTTATTTGGCACAAAAGAATAATATTAAAGAACTCTTTTAGCACTTTGTGAAAAGAAATTATTTTTAATATATCAAAAGTTTAAATCATTCGAATCATAAATTGACATTACATTACGTAGGCAGAATGTTTTAATTACGTACTCGAGCGGGAGCAAAATATTCAAAGTATCTGGCAAATCCTTCATTCAACCACAGATAACTCCACCATAAAGGACTGACCAAATTTCCAAACCATTGATGGGAGATCTCATGAGCAATCACGTTCCTGATACTCTGCTTGTTTGTAATCGGCGAATGATTCTCATCATATAACATACTTGCTTCTCTATACGTTAAAAGACCCCAATTCTCCATGGCGCCTGATCCGAAATCAGGCAATGCTGCCATAGAAAGCTTTGGTAATTGATACGACTGGTTGTACGTGGTTTCGAAGAATTCCACCAATGGATGCATTACGGATGAAGCGTATTCGGTTTGGCTAATGGCGTTAGGACGTGCGCATACAGATAATTCAGGATTGTCCGTTTTTACAGTTTTACATGCAAAATCAGAAACGATAACTGCCACAAGATACGTCGACATCTTTACTGTTTTATAAAACGAGTATAATAGACGGCCTTCACTGCAACAATTATTTATTATTTATTAATTATTAAGAACATTTATTTATTAAGAAGTGATTTTAATCTTAATATTCTGATAGGCATTATAAAAATCGCTTAGTTTGCAATAACAATCGTGCTTATAACGCGCTTATTGCACTGTACTATATTAAGACCATAATATTTTCTGAAAAATTATATTTACAATTTTAAAAAAATATCTTTGAAACATTTTTGTATTACAAAATATTAAATATATTATTAAATTTAATTTTTTTTAATTTTCGAAGGCAAAAATGTATATCAAAATAGAACATACGTAATAAAAAGATAAGAAAGATAGCATTTAAGTAGAAAAATAACATTTAATTAAATCTCTTTAAAAAAATGTATCTAAATTTATACATACACTTTTTCGATATTACGCCAGTCCATATTGCTGATTGCTGTGTAATCTCGTGGTACGCTAACTTGAACAATGAATTCCGCTTTCTTTGCTGGTTCATCGAAGCAAGGGAACATTTTTCTAGCACCAACAGGTTCCAAGTGTGAGGCTGCTAGCCATCTAAAACATCAAATATTTTATATTTAATCTTAAATACAAGAATATTATATATGGCGTGCAAAACATAAAAAAAATCTTTTTTATTTTATCTTATCTTCATATTTCATATTTGTTTACTTATTTATTACATTTTGTAATAAAATTGATTATTTAAAGTTTAAAATAAAATGTTTAGTTGCTAGAATAAAATATAAAATTTCTAAAACATTATTGCAAAATAAGTAATAAATAAATAATATTACTATTTAAAAAATTTTCTTAGCATTTTTGTATTATTTATAAAAACATAGCTTCTTTGAAACAAAAAGGATATTTAAAAAGATATTAAATGCTAACTAGTAAAATACAAATTGAATGAATGCAATTGTAATGTCTAACATTACCTTGTATTTTTGTCATTATCTACGTAAGAACTTTTGTAGAAGCCACGAAGCTCTGTCGCATTCAAATGACCTTTGTATGTGATATCGATCAATATCTTTCCAGTTGTCAGTTCAGTATTGAGATAAATTATAAAGAAGTCATATGGTTTATCAATTTTTGTATGTCTGATAGTCATTGTTTTGTTATTGGCCACTTTTGTCACATTCACTTCATGGTTTTTAATTTCTGACGAATGCAAAACAATTTTTGTTGTCGGCTTTATAACTTCAGCCTCAATTTTCACCTTTCCATCGAAGGTAAAGTTCTCAAAATGGGGTTTTATGGTAATGTCGTATTTTTTAGGTTCTATATTCGAAGGTATACGAAATACGTTTTCAATATATGTCCGCAGCCATGGAATCATAGATTTCGAATTGGTCTTATGCCAACTCAACTCGTATTTAGCGACCTTTAAGGAATAGTCCAGAGATTTTTGGATTGAGACAAAGTCCGCTTTATGCTTGCTTATGAAATCTTCGAATTTGTTTACTAAATAGCTTGTAGAGAAACGTTGCGACGCTCCATCGAGGATGCTAGCTATTGTACTCTGTCCTCCATAGCTAAAAAAAAAGATTTTATGAATCAATATAAAAATAATTTCTTCGTAATGCATTAATTAATACATTTATTAATATTTATTATTAAAATAATCTATTTTAATAATATTTTGTATAGTTTATATATTTCACGTAATTAATTACGCGTAATACACGTTG